CCCCCCCCCCCCCCGCAATGCAGGAACTCAAAATCAAAGCAAATTCTACAAGTATGCAAATGCATATTTACGGTGTTCTGGATGCAACTTCTCAAGTATTTAACATATGAATTACAGTGATCCCTCCACATTCACTGGGGTTAGGGGTGAAGGACCCCCATTAATGTGGAAAAAGCACAAATTTAAAAAAAAAACACTGTTCTTTTTACCAAAAAGAACATCTCTCTAGGACTCTCCGGGTCCTCCAATGCATCTCTAGGGTCAACATCTGCCAGAGATTGACCATAGAACCATGCTGGAGGACCTACAAATGCTGAGAGAAGTGTTTTCTCTAGGAACTTTTAGGTTCTCCAGCGCAACTCCTTGGTCAACTTCTGGCAGAGTTGCACTGGAGGACCTAGAGATTCCTAGAGAGAACATATTAATCAAAACCGTAAATAATCAAATCCACAAAAGTTAAAGCCACAAATGTGGAGAGCCAATTGTATTCTAAAAAGTACATACAGTGGGACCTGCAACAAAGTGTTACAGAATAGAATAAACTGTTCATTCTTTCTGCTAACTACCCAAGCCTCCATTCTGTTTCCTTTCCCACTTGGTGTCCTGTTCTTTTCTCCATCAGTCAGCAAATATTCTGTGGCCACTGCCCACTAAACAGGGTCACATCTCCTTAGGTCCTTTTTAGTATCTCTCTCCTTACAAGTTTTCATCCTAAATATATCTGGTATTCTTTCACTTCTGCAAATGCCGGCGTTCCCTTGAGTATGATGAGACTACCCTCTTGTGCTGGTGCTGTTTTGACTAGGTAAGCAACCAGAATCACTTCTGAACCATAAATGAAGCATACATTTATGCAACCCAAGATAAACTCTGGGATACGGCCACGCCTGTGTGACCAATATAAGTTATCCTAGTCAAGAAAGCGTGCTTGTTTTATAAAAACCATACTGTGTTTAAAAAAGCTCTTAAGTATAATTGATACTTGTTTTCTGAGGAAGAGGCAAGACATTATAAACAGCCCAGCTACCAACAGTGGAAGTTGTATTCAGCCATGCCTCTGGCTCTGAGACTTGAGCATCTGGTGGCACTCATACAATGCTGCATGGACTGGACTGGATGGCCCATGTGGTCTCTTCCAACTCTATGATTCCATGGGTCTATGAATTCAAAGCATACATTGTCAGTCACTATGCATATATTTTAAAAAAAATCCCAACTGAAAGCTGATGTTCCTAAGTCTGTGTCCCTGTTCCCAGTACTGTTTCCTGTGGGTTTTTCTATACGGCTGGATTTAAGGTAGGCAACTCAGACCTAGCATGGTGTAATGGTTTTGAGTGTTGGGCTATGACTCTGAAGACCTGGGTTTGATTCCCAGCTTGATCATGAAACCCACTGGGTGACCTTGGGCAAGTCACATGTTCTCATCCTCAGGGGAAGGCTATGGCAAACAAATCTGAACAAATCTTACTAAGAAAATCCCATGATAGGGCCCCCATAAGTCAGAAATGACAACAAACTCAGAACAGCCTGGAGCACGGTGGACTCCTTGAGTATTGACATACTGAACCAGTCTAGAATTAAAAGGTGGCCAACAAATTGGAACTGATCAATATAGATCTCCATCTGTAAAACAGAATCACAAAAGATTGCATCCACTACAGGACCATAGCATTAATTTCCCACGCAAGCAAAATTATGCTCAAATTATGCTTAAAATTCTGCAGGATTCTGAAAAGGAAGAGGCACTAGGGACCACATTGCAAACATACAATGACTAATGGCATACAAAGGTGTTCCAGGAAAAAAATCACCATGTGGTTCATAGATTACAGCAAAGCATTTGACTGCATAGATCACGAAAGGCTATGGATGACTGTCAAGGTCATGGAAGTGCCACCACATCTGAAAGTCTTGATGAAAAATCTGTACTTAAGACAAGAGGCTACTGTTAAAACAAAATGTAAGGAAACAGAATGGTCCCCAGTTGGCAAAGGGATCAGGCAAGGCTGCATTCTATCACCCCACTTGTTCAACTTGTATACTGAAAATATTATATGAAGAGCAGGCTTAGACTCAGAAGGAGGAAGAGTGAAAATAGAAGGAAGGGACATCAACAATCTAAAATATGCAGATGACACCATACTACTAGCAGAAAACATCACAAACTTGGAACAATTACTATGGAAGGTCAAAGATGAAAGTGCAAAGGCAGACTTAATGATGAACATAAAAAAGAAAAAAGAAAAATAATGACCACAGAAGAAATACATAAATTCTACCCAGACAAGGAGGAAATCGAAATAGTAAAAGAATTCCTGTACCTTGGGTCAAACCTTGATTAGAATGGAGACTGCAGTCAAGAAATCAGAAGAAGATGAGGAATGGGAAGGGCAGCTATGAAAGAACTAGAAAAAATCCTAAAGTGTAAAGTTATACAAATGGACACTAAAAGAATCATTCAAGCCATCATATTCCCCATCACCATGTATGGATGGGAAAGCTGGACAGTGAAGAAAGCCGATAGGAAAAGTATCAACTCATTTGAGATGTGGAGCTGGAGGAAAGTTCTGAGGATCCCATGGACAGCCAAAAGGACAAAGAAGTGGGTCCAAGAACAGATCAAGCTGGGAATCTCCTTGGAAGCCAAGATAATCAAATTGAGTCTGTCCTACTTTGGATACATCATGAGAAGGCATGACTCACTGGAAAAGACAATAATGCTAGGGAAGATAGAGGAAAGTAGAAAGAGAGGAAGACCACATACCAGATGGATAGTTTAAACCAGAGAAGTCATGGGCATGGATTTGCAGGAACTAAACAGAGCAGTGGAAGACAGGGGAGCTTGGAGATGGCTCATCCACAGGGTCACCATAAGCTGAAGTCAACTCGAGGACAGTTAACAACAACAATCTGGTGATGTCCATGTGTACATGTGAACCTAGCATGGAGTTTTCTTGGCAAGCGTTCTTCAAAGGAGGTTTGCTTTCCCCTGAGGCTGAGAAAGTGTGACTTGCCCAAGGCCACCCAGTGGGTTTCCTAGCCGAGCTGGGAATCGAACCCTGGTCTCCAGAGTCGTAGTCCAACATTCAAACCGCTGTGGCACAATGTAGGCTAGGCTTTAAGTCGGACCATTAAAAAAAAAAATAACACCCAACATTTGGTGGAAACCCATTCAACCATTTTTGTATGATAAGATAATATACAGACAGAAACGTGATTCTAATTCTATAGGTTACAATAGCTATAATTACAGTATATATATATATATATATATATATATATATATATATATAAAATAGTGATAAGCCAACATGGTGTAGTGTTTAGGTGTTGAGGATCCTAAGGCAACCCTTGCTCAGCTTACGACAAAAGATGCATCTGCACTGCAGAAATAATCCAGTTCGACACTGCTTTACCTGCCATGGCGCAATGCAATGGAATTCCAGCATTTGTACTTTTGTGCGATATTTCGACTTCTTTGTCAGAGGGCTCTGGTGCTACGCCAAGCCACAGATCCCAGGATCCTATCACATGGAGTTGTGGCCATTGAAGCTGTATCAAACCGGATTATTTCTGCAGGGCGGACGGAGCCAAAGGAAATGCCAATCCCGTTTTGCCTTGGGGGGGCCAGAGACAGGGAGAAACACATGAACAGGCCGATTCTGGTCTGTTCTAATCCGCGAAGGAAGCAGACACCGATTAACTTTTTTTATTTTTATTTTTAGCTTTGACTTTTGAATCTCATTCAGCAATGAGGTAAATGTGAAAATGACACAGTCACTGCATAGTAATTGGAACATACTCATACGCACACGTAGGCATGCACACGAAGGAAGGCAGCCAGATTTTCTTTTTTTTTTAGGGAGGAAGGTTGTTTTGTTGCTGGAGTATTAGCATGATAATGAATGTTCTCACTAGAAGCTTGTAATTATGCTTCCTCATTTCTTCCTTCTTTCCCACCAAACAAAGTCGAATTAATTATGATCACAGCCTAGAGTTGATGCCATCATCTCTATCTATCTATCTATATTTATTTCTTCTTCTATTTCTTTCTGATTTGCCTGGGGATGGCAGAGGGAGAGTATTTTATGGGGATGGAGGCGGGAAGCAGGAAAAACCATTGCAATATTTTATAGTGAATTTATAAGAGGGAGGTCCGATAACCAAAACAGTGCCTTGCTACTTTAGCCTGGAGAAGAGAAAGGTAAGAGGTGACACAATAGCCTTGTTGAAATATTTGAAGGGATGTCGTATTGAGGAGGGAGGAAGCTTGTTTTCTGCTGCTCCAGAGAATAGGACTCGGAACAACGGATACAAGCTACAGGAAAAGAGATTCCACCTCAACGTTAGGAAGAACTTGGTGACAGTAAGAGCTGTTTGACAGTGGAAGACGCTCCCTTCTTTGGAGGTCTTTAAACAGAGGCTGGATGGCCATCTGTTGGAGATGCTTTGATTGAGAGTTCCTGCATGGCAGGGGGGTTGGACTGGATGGCCCTTGGGGGTCTCTTCCAACTCTATGATTCTATGATACTTTTTCGATGGATTTGTGGTAACATCTTTAGGAACACAGAGTATGCGGGTCCCAGTGGGTTTGAGCAGTTTGAGTGTTGGACTAGGACTCTGGAGACCAGGGTTCGAATCCCTGCTTGGCCATGTAAGCCCACAATTGGAATTAATTTGCTCATATCCCTTCTTTCCTTCTCCTCCTCCTCTTCCTCCATCATCATTGCAATTAAGTCATTTATATCCCTTCTTTTCTCCAAAACTGACGTTCAAAATGGCTTATAAGAATGAAACCCCGGACATGTGTGGCCAAGCAACATTAGAGTGTGGTCAAGATGGCAAAGGTTATTATTCAACCCACAAGTTAGGAGAGGTTGCAGCAGTTTGCTTTTGCCTGAGCCTCCTGGGAAGGGCAAGCTTCTGCCTCATCCTCTCCTCTCCTCTTCTCTCCATAGATTAACTGAACCTGTACTATTTTTAACAATTTAAACTCTGCTTACAATAGTGGAAATAAGCTGAGGATGAAAGGGGAAAGTGGGAGGAGATGAAAGAAACTGGGACATTTTAAAAGCAGCTGAAAAAGTGGGAAGACAGAGGATGAATCGGGACTGTTCCTGCCAAATCAGGATAGTTGGAGGGTATGTTGTTGTCGTCGTTGGGCATTTTAGTATAAAGATAGTGTTCGGGCACTCTCCCACTCACTTTCCTATCTCTATTCTTAATCATCCCTAACATAGAATTTGCCTTTTTTCTCTGGTGCCACATCAGAATTTTCACTGTATGCTTATCCACCAGGAGGATCTCAATGCCTCTTCTCTAGACAGTCCAGATCCCATCACTTCTTTGTCCCAAAACAGGCGGACTGCTCAGCCGGTCCCATTCTCGACGAGATTTCTGTTTGTGATGTCAGAATTCTGCTTTGTTTCTTATTGTTTTATCCCTCCCTTCTGACTGTAGGCATTAGACCTGCACATTTGGTTCCAGCATCATTGCAGATTTGTTGAAGGAGATGCCACAGGCAGTAGATTCCTCCCCCTTTGGTTCTTTGGAGAGCCCTAAGTAACGGCTCTAAATGCATGTCACTCGCCATAAATAATGCCACCGAGGAGAGTGATCCTGAGCTCCCTGCGCTCCCTTGCCCTGTTTTGTCAGCCCCGATCAGGACTTCCTTTTGTTTTGGTCGAATCATCGAATCATAGAGTTGGAAGAGACCACAGTACAATAGCGTATAATACAATGGTACAATAATGAAATCAGAGCTTTGTCAGTTGCAAGTGTATATGCCCTATTTATAGTGCCCCAGTGTCTCTGAGCTTTTATGTTTCGTGCATAAGAAGCTCTTCACTTGTGCACACCAGAAGCCTAGCGTGAGTCAGAGAGGAATACACATCTCCATAATAGCTCCTTTGTATTCCTGGAAACCCCCTACGCACACGCACGAACTCACACACACACACTCCTGCAGAAGCAAAGCATGCCCTCTCCTGCCATAGGCTAGACTGATGCGGATCAAATGGTTTGTAAGGCCTTGGCACCCATCCATTGGCGCAGGAGGCGGCTGCCCTGGAGTGCCAATGTATCCTGCAGCTCCTTACTCCCCCACAAAGCCGTTTGCAAAAGCTCCCACCCTTTGTGATCAAATGGCTGAGTCACTTGCTGCTTTTGGCCTTGGGTCACAACCAGGCCACAGGCGCTGCCGTTTTTTCGTCTAGCAGGCAGAGTCATTTAGTGTTCTCACTCTCTGGATGCAAGCACTAATAATCCTTTTCTAAACCCATGCAGTCCCTAAAGGGACCTAATCCATTTTATTTGTTCTTTCCACCACTGCTTAAAATCACCTTGCCAGGGGTCGGCTCCCATTGGGAGTTGATCTCTTTATGGCCAATGCATGGCGCACAGCCTGGTGGAAGACTCCTGGCTCTGTTTGGACAGAAAGTGTTCCTGGGGTGACCAGATGTCCTGACTGCAAAGGAGAGCAAAGCTCCTCCCCCCAAAATGTAGGACATTTAAGAAAAATATTGGGTATGACCAAATTAAAAAAGAAGAAGAAGAAGCTGAAAACTCTCATAGAAATGTAAATTCATGCTTCTTAGGGGTTATTCACACTGTGAAAATAATCCAGGTTGAATCTCCATGTTCACATACATCCCAAATGCACCCGATTAAGTTTGGGGGTGTTGCCAAAAAAAACAACAACCCACTGAATCCAGGATAATTGATATCGGGTCTTCCCCCAAATTTTAAAAAAAGATCCGCATCGTCAGTAGTGCGAATAACCGATGCAAATAGACCCCCGATAAAACCTTGCCTGCCTTGAACGTGTTCCGAAAGCATTCACATCGTCGACCCCATCTTTATTCGAACGCTTGCACGTGTGAGCGACTGAACGTGCAGAGATGCGCAATGATGAGGTTCCATCGTGGGAATAACAAACCTCGAATGCAAGAGTGAGATGATTTGCATCATTGCACTAAAAAAAGGACATCTGAATGACCCCTCAGTCCTGATCCAAATGGAGGACATTTTGGAATTCCTCCTGGACAGAAGGTTGAAAGGTAAGACATGTCCTAGAAAAAGAGGACATCTGGTCACCCTGGGTGTTCTTTTTCCCACTCGCCCACAATAGCAGCTTGTGTCCTGAATAATACAATTCCTCTTGACATGTGAGAACTGCTGAAACTGGCTGTGGATGTGGTGTATGAATTCATTTTTAGGGGAAAGGTATGAAATCCTGGGAGAGAGCCAGCATGGCATAGTGGTTTAAGTGTTGAACCTCAACTCTGGAGGCCAGGGTTCGACTCCGCGCTCGGCCATGAAACCCATTGGGAGAACTTGAGCGAGTCACATGCTCTCAGCCTCGCAGGAAGGCAATGGAGAACCTCCTTTGAAGAAATATTGCCAAGAAAACCCCAGGATAGGGTCGATTTCGGGTCGCCATAAGTCGGAAACGACTTGAAGGCACACAACACACACATCATGAAACCCTGGTGTATAGTCAACTGTTTACACTCACCCCAAATAGCTCTCTGGTGTGTGGCCTAAACTTGAAAAAGATGGGGGTAATGTAGGGACAGCTGCAAAGCGGAGAATGTGAAAACACAGGTGGTATGTCCTATAGCCCATACCTTGGAAAGCCTATTACCCTCTCCATTAATAGCATGGATTCAAAACCTGCTGTGAAGCCAGTCCGTTGACATGCTTTTGTATGGCATCATTGTTCCAAGTTCCTCTCTCCTCCCCAACTCTGTCCCAGTTGCTTCCAACAGCTGTGGCATCAATATGCCATCTGTCGAATTTATGGTACTTCTTCCCCAAGCTTCCAAAGGACACAACACGCCTGTAAAATGTACACACTTATATATGTATCTTCTTCTCCCACACCCAACAAATTAAAATTTTATTTAGCATGTTAGTGGCTATGGATTTGAAACGCATTTATTGCAGCCAGGGGTCAGCAACCATAGGGGAGCCACATTGCCCCTGTGAAGATCCGGAAAGGCTGTAATCTCCTACTATGCCCTCTTCAAAAATATTTTTTTTCTTTGTCTCCAAATGCCCCTCAACATCCCGAGGATGTTTCTACCACTACGACATTTCCACCGCTTTTTGGCTTCCCCCGGGCCATTCTAGACCCCAAGCAGGCTCTCTTTTTTTTTTTTTACAGCAGAAAGTGATCCAAGTCATTTCTAGGTTCCTTCCTTTTTCTTTTCCTTTTTCGAGAAAAGGTATCTTCTGGTACTAAAACAGGCTAGGTATTTGGGATCTACATCCTGTGCTATGCGTTAGAAAAACTGGGTTTTCTCCTTAGTGGTAGAATTCAAAGATATAGCCGTATTAGTCTGTAGAATCAGTATGTAGAGAGATGTTGCAGCACCTTTGAGATCTGAAAGAAAGAAATTGGCAGCATGAGCTTTTAGTAGATTTCAATCTACTTCCTTAACTAAATGCATCTAAGGAAGTTGACTGAAGTCTAGGAAAGCTCATGCTGCCAACTTCTTTATTTCAGTTAGTCTCAAACGTGTTACAAGATCTCTCTACATACTGGGTTTTCTCCAGAGGAGCATGGAGATGTCGGGTGACCAGATATTCTCTTTTTTCAGGACATGACCTACATTCCAGCCTTCGGTCCAGGAGGAATTCCAAAATCTCCTCCCTTTTGAGCAAGACTAAGAAGAATTCGTTTATATTTTTAAGAGTGTTTTTAGCTTTTCTTTGGTCATGTCCTACATTTTTCCTGGAATGTCTTACATTTTCCGGTGCCTTGTCCTCCTTTGTGGTTAGGACCTCTGGCCACCCTGGTGGAGGGTGGGGAAATATATATATATATATATATATATATATCAGCTAAGAGCAAAGCAAATAACTTTAAAAGCTTTGGTGCCTAACTTGTCTTGGTGCTTCCCACTCCCTTTGGAACAGTAAACCATATGGTAACAGCAAAACTTTTATTCTGGGACCAAAACGAAATTAACAGCTTGACATCTGCAGACAGAACTACCATAACCTTACCAAGAGCAAGACGCTGTCCTTTCCTATCTGCTCCTTCCTGCTCAGCTAACTGAGCAAGAACCAGTACTTTTGCACTTTGAACTCCGTTTCCAGCAATTGTAGTAAGCTGCAGAGGAAGGGGGAAAGCGGGAGGAGAGAGAAACCAGGACATTCTAAAAGCAGCTGAAAAAGTGGGATGACAGAGGATTAATCGGCACTGTCCCTGCCAAGTCAGGACAGTTGGAGGATAGGTGTTATAAATGGAGAAGCTGATCTAGTAAGGACCTTTGGTCACCTTGGTATTCCTGACTCTGCTGACCTCTTAGGTTTGCTGAATGCTGACACAGGAGGCCACATCAGTTTGCAGGCCTGGCACAATCCATTCTGACCAACTGTATAGGAAAAAAACACACCAGCGACGTAACCATGGTTTTCATGTCCTATACTGACTTAGGGAGGTCTGGGGTCTTTGGGCAAACTACCTTTAGTAGGAGAGACAAGGCATTCTAATTTGTTCCCACTGTCTCTGAACTTCGTCCATGCTCCATGCCTGCTTGGACATCTTTCTTGTTTGCAGATACTGAGGAATCAACATGCCTTGTTGTTGTTTTTTGTGCATACGTGTGTGTATGTGTGTGTGTGTGTGTGTGTGTGTGCATTGA